TAGTAGATGTGAAAAACATTACCATTGAAATCTACCTGATGATTTTATATCAATATGCCAAGGATCTCAGAAAGTCACTGATTGTGACTAGTAATAATCAGACATATAGAGATCAGAAACACACGTGCAAATATCTTAGTGTTAATTGCATTAAAAATGAATTTTTCTGTATGAAACTGTGTATTTTAATAATGAAATGGAGATCTTTTTTTAAAGGTTAAAACCTCATTTAATTTTATGTCTTACAGGGTTTATACTGAGTACAATATTGTATAACTGTAATAATTCAACTGTAAACCTGAAAATTTACAGCCAATTTTGAAAGAGATGCACCTTAGCTCTGGAAATTGTTATTGAATATGTCAATGCTGTTGTTATGAAATGGTTCTTCTAATTATGTGGTTATTAAATAATTAAAAAAATATTTTAGGGTTACATCTTCAGAGGGGGGAATGTTGGAGGGGAGGGAGTGGGCTTCGATTTGATCAAAACACCTTATATGCGTGTATGAAATTCTCAATAAAGTTTCTGTAAAAATTAAAAAATTTGTTAGTATCCTGCCAACTGCAATAAAGTAAAAAATTATAATTGAAACTCAAAGGAAATAAACCAAAATGTGAATAGTGGCATTATTTCCAGTAAGAGACCAAAGGCAAATTTTCTTTCTTTCTACCATTCTACAATTTCTAAAATTTTCGATAAGCAAACATTAGCTTCATAAAGAAAAACAGATTTTAAAATAAAAGTATTTTTCAAAAGTTTTTACTTGGGGTTGTTCCTTTCACTGGGATGGCTATAAGTCACCCTAAACCACTAGTTTCCTATTTATTGAAGCCCACTGTGACACATTTTGGAAGCAGCTCATCAGTGATAAGAAAGTCAACAATGGGGGTGCATATGAAAATCAAGCTTGGCTGTTTCTGTAAGATGACCATAGGACAATTATGTATTTGGTGAAATAACGCACTAGGATAATTAGAACAAATAAACCGCTTCTTCAAAATGGTGGCTAAGAACAGAGGAAAACCTAGGGTGGATCCTTGATGTATATGGAACCCATCTGCCTTAAGACAGAGGGCCAAATAAATTAATGCAATTTTTAAGTAAAGGTCCCTATTTCTACAATTCAATATTTTAAAACATTTATATAAAAATATATAGTTCAAAAGTAATGCAGACTATCTGAAAATAATTGGAAACGAGGACAGGGGCGTTTCATGTAATCACAGGTAGGAATTCACTCTGAGACTTGGAAAGTCAGCTTAGTTTGATGGCTCATACTTGTGATAAGCTGAGGCAGAAGGACTGCCACAAGTTCCAGGCCAGCTTTCACTAAAGAGCAAAGCCCTATTTGAGGGAGGGGGGAAAGGAAAAAAAGACATGGAAGGTCAAGGTTTCTGCCCTTCAAAATACTGAAACATTTTCTTTTTAGAAATCAGTTAAACAATATCCCTTCTCCTCGGGGCCAACCATGGACTCACCAGTATTTGTTCTGCCTCTTTTAGTTGTTTCTGCAGCTGCTGGATATCACTGTCTCTCTTCTCCACTTCCTTCTCTAAAACTTGCATTTCATGATGGATTTTCCCCTGATTAAGTGCCAATTTCATTAATTCTTGAAATTCCCCATCTCGGTGAATTAGCAACTCCAGGACCTGCCAGATAAAAGTGGATTAAACCAGACAGCAGAATCCTGAAAGGCTCCCTTCCAAAGACACAAAGAATTTATACCCAAATGGCTAGGGTTTTCACTTTTAACACTTCCACATATTATCCATAAGCCCCATTAAGATGAAAAGCAGCCCATTTGGGATTATTTTAGAGTTTCTATTTATTCTGCTCTTCTTCCATGCAAAGCTAAACAAATCTTTCAGCACTAACAGTATGCCGAATTTCAGGTTTATTCATCTCCCAGGGAAGATAAAATTTATGTTTATCCTTGAGTATGAGATGTTACAGAAATTCTTCTGATACTGACAAAGTCATCTGATACTCAAGATGACTTTAGGTAGCACCAAGAACTTTTAAAAACTTCA